AAAGTAGATAAGAGGATTTGGGGCGGGACGACGCGCTTTGGCTGAAAACATTTTCGAAGAGTAATAAAATTGAATGAGCTCAGTTAAAAATTATTTTTAAATATCGTGCAATTACGAAATAACACTATACAGAAATTACGTACTGAATGTCACATATTTTTTTTAGAATATCGAAGAAAGAAATGCACGATATTAACAAAAAAACATACATAAACGGGCTAAAGAGGCACGACTCTTTCCATCTTAGTTGATGAAAACATATAGCCATGTAAATAAATATCCATGTACATATAATATACAGTTATCACTTAAATAATGTATTTTGGTTTCGAAGATTACCCTACACGTACACAACAACTCAGAAAATTCGTTTATTATTACGATTTTACTTAAATATTACGAAGATATTTACGAAAAATTCATATTATATGCACTATTTTGGCGTTACTTTACGTACCATGGGTACTTAATTAATGTTCAAATAAATTCTAAAATATAACGAATTAGAATGTGACACGGTTTAAGTTAGGCCTATCTGGGATTGTATATTAATGGGAATGGCTGACTAATATTTGAGTAAATGCGTCATTGTGACGTAGTTTGCATTGATCGTGAGTTAGACGAAAGCTGTTACGCAAATAATTTTGTATTGACAGTAGCAATCGGTAGCTTTTTCTTTGATAGGTTAAAGGTTTTTCACTCGTTTCGTTGTATTTAATTATAAAGTTTTGTCAAGATGTGATAGTATCGATTTCAAATTATAAATGTTTATTATGAAATGAAAAAGTTTCCACAAAAAATAATATAAATAAACAGCAGAAATTTTTGTTTAATTTTATAAATTTTGACAAAAAATCAATCATTGATTTTAGTATTTGCACAAAACCATCACCATAACTGAGATGTTTTGATAACGATTGCCAAATATTATCAGTGGAGTTATATGTTCACATGTATCGATTGTCCTGTTACTATGCAATGGTCTCCACTACGATAAAATATTAAAAGACGTTATTTATTGTCTGCTAGAAAAGACGCTAGTTCTTACTTTTTTTGGTATTACAAGGTGACAAAGAGATGCGGGAAACCCGATACAATCGGATTAACGAACTATACTGTACGGAAAAGAATATGTATTTGTTGTCTGTCATATTTGCATTTATACCAGCCGAGAGACAAAAAAATATTACCGCTTATTGGCTAATTTCGAGTTTGTCAGTTTTTTTACTTGTAATTTTTTTTAATTTCTAGAGACCATGCATGTACAGTAGATACTAATCGTATAAGAATTTAATCGTAATAAAAAAATTATAAGAAACTTAGTTCAAATAACTGGTAACAAACTATATCTGTTTACTATTATAATGTTTTGTTACTACAGTTTCAAGGAGGGCCGCTATTAACAAGAGGAAATCTTGAAATCGACCTTTAAATTGAAACTTACTAAACACAGATTTTCTTAAACTTTTAGTTGAATTCTGCTTACATTGATATGGTTGGTATATACGAGTTTGTTATCATTCCTATTTTAATATACACCTACATCATTTTCTTTTATGTTCACAATATTTGTGTGTATTCAAGCGAGTCTTAATAGTCTGAGTGTACACAGAAAACGAAAATTTATAAATGTCAAGGGATCTTAAGATTCAAACGGTGAGATCTTCCCTAAAAGTCATTAAAACTTTTTCTTCTCAAAGGTGCTGGTTTCATTGATGTTCGTCGTTCCTAATAAAATTCATGATTATAATGATTTTTACTTAACTCATAATAAAGATTGTGAATTGTGAACTTGTTGGGAAAATTCTAATAACTGCTTTTAAATGTTTTAAAATGATTACTTGAAATTTTCTTGGATTCATGCGAATACCGCGCTTAACAGTTTAAACCATAATGCGTTTGTTCCGGAACCATGGAACCGTGCGAAATGTCATTGACTAAAAGAAAATTCAACGCAACAAAATACGAATAATAATTTCATTAAAATATGTACTTGAAATTATGTGCATTTATTGCTTTAAAGGTGCTGTAAAGATGAAGAAGACAGTCAGTATATTTGTCTTTATATGTTAAGATTACGGCTTAGGTTTCTAATCTCCATTCCGATTTATCTTTTAATACCTTCATTAGTTCAACCATAAAAAGTTGTTTCTCCAATGCTTATGATAGGAAATAGACACATAAATACGTAAATTATATAATTTAGGTATAATACTAGTTCACTTCGAAAGAGTCACGCAGCAGTTTTTAGTACTGCATGAAAGAGTTACGGGTTACCTCGTCCGGGGAAGCACCACGGCCTAAAAGAAGAAAGCATAAGTATTCATACCTTTAAGTTGCGTCTGATTATTGAGGAAACTGGGGCTTTCCTTAAATGAGAAAACACTACTGCAACTCCTCGGCTGTTGTGGATGTCCACAGGCGGCAGAGACCACTTAACATGATCTCGTTTTCCACTTTTCTCCATAAAAGAAGGTTATAGATTTTCCACGTTTATGGGCCAGCGACGCGATCGCAATATGAAATGATCAATCAATTTTAAAGGACACAGTCTGGCATTAGTACAATTATTAAAATTATGAGTAATGATAATCAGATACAACTCCGAATTAATTTGACATTATACAGCCGGATGAGTGAATCGAGTGATTCGATTGCCTTTAATACCGATCAAACCGAACCCCGCACGTGGATATTATTTCAAGCCCGAGTTCGTGACGGTTCCGAGTAACTTTCCGTCGGCGCATGTGCTGAGAAATCTTAAAGTAAATAAGCAATACGTTTAAGCTGCAATTATGTTTGCCCGTTTTATAGATATATCTTTAGTGACGTATACTGTTACCGTAAGAATCTCGTTCTTGTTAAGTGTTTCAATTTTGAGAAGAACTTATTATAACTCTAATTGTATGATAATAAAATATAAATAAGAATGTCTCTTGGAAACGAAACATCAAGATTCAACGAGCAGATAAATCTCACTAACAGTGCAGTCAAATTAAACTGAGACAGGGGTCGTCTTTGTGAAAGTTCATTGCTCATTTATGAAATACTAAGTAATGCCCAGTACGATGCAGCAATTTTGTATTATTCTTTTTGAATTTTATATGGAATTTTATATTTATTTTATATATACACATTCTTTTCTTTTTTCCGATATTTGATTTAAAATTCCGATAAAATATTACTTTTTGAGGTACCCAAAGAGACCGCTGTCTGTCTATCTGTTTGTCTGTCCGTCTGTCACAGGCTGTATGTCACGAACCGCGATATCTCATGATTTAAGCAGTTGAAATTTTCACAGATGATATATTTCTGTTGAAGCTATAACAACAAACACTAAAACAGTAAAATAAAAAATATTTAAGCGCGGCTCCCATATAACAGACATGATTTTTTTGCCGTTTTTATTGATAATGAATGGTATGGAATCTTTCGTTGGGAAGTCCGACTCGCACATGGCCCGTTTTTGTTGTTTTGTCCGCCGCCCATGGCCATTTGCAACACCCGTTGGGTTTCAGGCGCCTTACAAGCCTTTAATAAAGTGAGTCCCGGCTACCTCACTCACCAGACGAAACACAATTAATTATATAATAGACTGTGGCGATGAATCCCGTAACCGCACCCTGATGGCCTGTAGCTGGCAATCCTCGCAATGTCCACATGCGTGACACTGCTATGGTCTATGAAGCGCGAGGAAACATTTACGTAGTCTCTCCTCGAGCTCAGTGCCCGATAAAGCTTATATAGTCTACGGACTGAAAGCGCAAACATCTATCACAAAGATACCTTATTCTGTTTTTAAATCTGCCGTACGGTAGTACCCCTTAAACTTAAACTGCTGTGTGTCTTTTAACTGGATCATCGCTTTCTCCGAAGTGACTTACTCGTATATAAGCACACATCGCGATGTCTAACGCATGACTAACGTTTATTGGTAATGCAAGTAACATCCACTGTTTACGTGTTGCGATGATCGATAAAGAGGAAGGATCGGCAACATTTGCCTAATCTGCACACAAACAGACGTTTCTGAGTACTTATCAATCACTGTACTAAATTGCGTAACCGTCTCTGGTGAGCAATGGAATAAATCGAATTGATTTCGCATTAGATTTGAACAACAAGGACGCGTAACATTAAAAGAAAACAGTTATATTATGATACAACAGTATCTAATTATTCGCCCTATTGCGAACACAGTAATTGCTATGAAGTAGTGCATTTAGTTTGGGCATAACAAAGTCGAAATAAGTTTCAGTATAGAGTGTATAACAAGTTAACTTTTCGTAGTCTTCCACGGCTGTAAAGTTTATTATGCTATTTTTGTACACTATATTGTAACAAGCTATATACATTTGTGTAAAGTCAAAGAATTGAAAACAAAAACATATGGATTTTCATAAAACACATATAGATTTTGTTAAATATGAAATTATGTCATTTAACACCTATATATATGTACATTACAGAATGGCCCTCTATGCTTTAGCTTCACAAAATAATATAATAATCATTTTTTTTATTGGAGGAAGGAATAAAACGTTTACTTAAAATATGTGCGTCCTTCCGTCACCTTTTACGAATCCGCGTTCAGCCTAATAGTCGGAGTAATGTTTAAACGATAAACATTCTATGATTTACACATTATAAATAAGTCATATCATATCACTTGGTGGTAGGGCCACGCAGAAGCCTCGGCTGTTGCACGAATGAGCAGGCTCGTCCGGATAATTATAACGACCACACAGAAGATCAGCGTAAAGTGGAAGTATAATACTTTCACGTTTCGCCTCGTGAGTGAGATGGCCGGAGCCCAATTTTCAAATGTCCACCCATCTGGAACCCTCTGGTGTATCAGAAGTTCATGGGCGGTGGTATTCACTTAACATCAGGTGAACCATCTGTTCGCTTGGCAACATTTCACGTTAAAAAAATCAGTCATTTTAAATTTTAAGCTAAAATAAGCAAGCAAAGATATCTACTAAGCGAATGTATGATACCTTAAGCGATGCCATATCCGACACGGAGCGATGTGTTTGTATGGTCTCCAGCTGGTCCAGGCACCAATCCAGCTCCTCCACAGTCTCTAGTGCTAGCTTCATGTAGGCTTCGTCTGTAACAAACGAGAAGATAGTATTGTCACATCATTCCAAATTTTTTCTAACTTTTTCTTCAACATGAGAGTGCACAAAGATTTGGAGTAATTTTGGGAGTTGATATCTTGTTAAAACTGTTATCAGATTCACGGTTATATGAATATAGGTTGTTTTAGTAATTTTCATTTAAATTCGTTAACTAATTTCATGTAAATTAAAATAGAATATATGACACAACGTTTGTTTGTTCATTTATCTATAACGAAGAAATCTATAAGGAAACGAGTGGTGGGAATAACGCATGGAAACTGGTATCATGTGAAGTATCGTGTTTTACATGTTTTACGTTAATTGGATAATTTAAAAGTTAACAGAAACTGGGTGTGATTATGAATTTAAAATCATCTGATTCTTACACATACGTTTACAATTTGAAGAAAATAAAATATGCCAATTAGACATTACGTTAGTTTTTTTTATTACAACATTTTTAACGTTATTTTATTTCTACCAATTACAATAGGTAAATATTGTCTTATCAGTAATTAATTTAAGTTCACTGTTTGTCTACATTCAATGTTTTATTGGAGCTGTCGTTAAAAACGACTGTAAGATCCTTAGGAAAAACACGGGAAGTAAATTGGCTGTATTAATTACACAAAGCCGCGGACTTAATGATCCCTTGTCTGAGATGCTGTTGATACTAGTACCTAAAGTTGGTTTTAATTGCCGGTTCTTTGATGAAGCTGGAAAATGCGAGCGAAAACGAAAGCGCGAAATGTTTCCCTTTTCAATGATTTTTGTTTAGAAAATAGACGGGGACTTGCTTGCTGGATAAATTTACTCAGAACTGTAAACGGCACTCTAATTTAATCTCAAACGTCATTGGTTTTAATTTCAGGTAGATGGAACTTAATCCTTAGAAAGTGATATTAAGCAATTACAACGTGAGCTGATTAGCTATTTTACTTGAAAAGTAAAAAAAATATTTATTCCTCGCCTAATATGTAGTAATGAAGATCTATTCATTGAACTTCTATAATATAGAGACTGATAAACATACAAAGACTATATCGTTATAATATTTATTACGTCACTGAGAAAATTTCTTATATTTTCCGTGCATCGCAATAAATAATATTTAATAGCTAATATTTAAACGTTAAAATCAGTATTTAAATTTGTCTGTGTTATACGACGTTAGATAAGGGTCATCGACAAGTTTGTATGTTTTAAATTAAAAGACACCTCGTTTCAAAATATAATAATGTTAGGGGTGCAATATGCATGAGAAATAAAGCAAATTTAAGCGCTGCTGAGGTCATGCGCTATTGTCTTGATTCGGACGTATGAATAAAAAGAGTGTATATAAAAATACGACGAAAAATGTGACGAAAAGAATCCCACAAAGCAGTTCATGACGTAAAGAAATGTAATGTATAATGCGAATGCATAGTCAGGATGAAAATTTAATTCCACTATCCGAGCAACATAATTTCCTGCGGTTTATGTGGTTACGTGTGACACGCGTATTATGATCGTTTCATATAGGTATATGCATTATTTTATTTTGCTCTGTCTATACTGTCATTTCCTAGTGGCAATGAAATGTTATATAGAATAATCGATAGCCCCTATTGAAGATGCACGGCGAGGTCTTGACAGCTTGACCTTCGGTTGACAGGCGCTGCATTCACGAATGTAATCCATGATACTCGCGTCACGCGAACGTTTCATTTTTACGAACGAGATTTAGCCTCATTGTAAGCAAATATTGATAACGTATTTACAACGCTTCGTCGTTCGCATGAATGACATCGGAGTGCGACGGTGACGTCCCGCCGTGAATCGTGATGTAACACGATAAAAATGAGATTGCGATCATGGTGAAAAATCTAAAGTTTATTGCCTTATAACGCCCGCTGATTGCGCGTCTGCGATAGATAACGGTAATGTTGTTTTCCATTTAGTAGGTAGTCACGAGATTGTAATTTAGATTTTCGATAAATTCGGTTTCGATGATTTCTATCAATATTGATTAAGATTGCGATAGAACAGTTGAGAAAACAAATTATTCAATAATAATAGAAAAAGACACGTGTGCTACAAGTCAATTATTTTTTTGTAAAAATGAAAAAAAAAACAACATGATTCTTGGATTAGGTAATAATTTCTACTATGGTAGGGCCACGCAGCAGCCTCGGCTGTTGCACAAATGGGCCGACTCGTCCTGGTAAGTACCACGACCTCACAGAAGACCGGCGTAAAGTGAAAGTATAATACTTTCACGTTTCGTCTAGTGAGTGAGGTACCCGGAGCCCAATTTCCAAAAAGGTTGTCAACGCATCTGCAAACCCTCGGGTGTAGCAGATGTCCATGGGCGGCGGTATTCAATTAACATCAGGTGAACCGTCTGCTCATTTGGCAACTTTTCACATAAAAAAAATCCTGTGTCTAAAAAAAGGTTCTAAAAAATAGTTAGTTCTCCCTTCATTCCATATTACTTCTTTGATTAATCATGCTTAACAGATAATTTTATAATAACGCCTTGATTGAAAATTAAACTAAACGCAGCTACAAAATAAAAACCTCAGAGGGCGCAAAGAGGCTCGGCCTGCACGAATCCGCGAGCTTAGTGAATGTAGGCCTCCCCCAAAGAATGTTACAAGGCCTGGTCCTGAGCTACCTGCATGTATCAAATTCCAATTAAAATTCAAATAACTTTATTCAACATAGAAGCATTACACTTACTTATTGAGTGTCAAAACGCTATCACCGGTTCGGAAAGAAAAGACCTGAGAAGAACCGGTGAAAGAAACTCAGCGGGACATATTTTTTTAACCATTATTTGACCAAAAACATGTTTACAAATATATTGAACTATGATTTTACATTTGAAAGAGTTTGGAGCGATCAAATCATTTCCAGGGTTTGTTATCACTTAAATTATCACTTAAATTATCACTAATATTATAGTAGCCTAACACACAAACGTTTCTTTACACTTGTTTTGAATTTACAAATTGATACTGAATGAACGGTTTCTGGGATTTTGTTTTAAAATGTATATATACATTATTCCATAAAAGAATTAATCTACTTGTGGGAGGAATTAATTTATGTTTGTTCCTATTATTTATAACATGCATAGTCAGACATGCGTCTTGAACAAATTAATTTTGTTTTTATGGACGTATATAATATTCTCAAATATGTACTGAGAATCAACAGTCCATATTTTTTTTTCTTTGAACAAATTTCTTGGCGATTTTTTGAGGCCCAGGTTATAAACTGCTCGTATAGCTTTCTTTAGAGGATGACGATTGTATTAAAATGGACAGCGTTTCCCCAAAGAAGAATGTCATAAGACTGTGGAAATTACTAAGAATACCATACGAGCCAGCTGTCTTATTTTTTAACCGCGAAGGCTGCTTAGCTTAGTCTACTCGCCAGCTTATTAATATGGGGGCCCCAGTGAAGTTTGGCATCTATATTTATGTCAAGGAATACAGTCGAGTCAACAGGGTCAAGCGCTCCCTGAGTAATAGTACATCAGTTTTGATGTTTCACATTTAGAGTTGAAAATTTTATACATTTGTTTTTTTTTTTATTTTTCAATAATACATTTTTTGCACTAAAATCGACTTCCCGCATATTTGCACAGGTCGTCACTCCATTTTGTAGGGTCGTTCTACAATGCTACAAGGCTGCCCATCGAAAAACCTTTATTTTGAGAACTTTTATTTCCTATCAGTTATGGGTTCTACGAGCTATATGGCTAGTACGTTGTCACTTCAGTATACTAGTCGTCTGAGCTATGTCGGTTACCCTTCTTCAAACATTGAGGGATATTGGACTTGGAGATATGCCGTTAATATTTAGTGCTAATTTATTCACGCTCAGTGGTGAAGGAAAATATCGTTCGAAAACCTGCATATTTACGAGATAATATAAAAAAAATATTTCGTAGATATGTGAAGTCCGCCAATCCACAGTAGAGTCACGTGGTGGACTATGCCCTAATATCCTCTGTGCAGAGGAGGCCTTTCCCAGCAGTGAGACATATATGGTATTTTTTTACTTTTTTATATGCCGAAAGTTTGTCGAACGCGATCTGAGTTGAAGTCGATTGACCTCAGCATTAAAGTTTGACCCATCAAACTGTCCACGATAGACCGTGTAGTCATTCGACGTGAACCACCGACTTTTTAAGATGTCTGCAGTTTGTGATCACATTTTAGACCCTTGTTATTACATTAAATTCGATAAACCTCAAATCCTCCCAAAAGAATACCTATTCGCCTTAAAGATTATCCGCAAGGTTATTGTCTTATATATCGTGATTTTAATAGTGAAGGTGGTTAGGGGTTTCAAAGCTTGGGATTAAATACAATCCCACCGACACTACAAGACCTCAATATATCACAAGCTCGTTTTGCGTAGATCGGAATAAAATTAAAAATAAAATAATTGAGGTCTAACTCGTAACATTATGATTTATAACAGACGACCCAATTAGCACAGTGGATAGTGAACCTGCTTCGTACGCGTGTGTGGGTTCGATCCCCACAAATGGAAAACCATTGTTTGATGAGCTTAATGTTTTACCAGTGTCTTAATGTTTACATTTAGTCATATCTTTAATGTATTTATATTTTAAAAAAGGATTTAAATAGACTTATCGGTTACCCAGTACACAAAGTACACAAAGTACAAAGCTTTCCTTTATTTGGGGTTAGATAGAGTTGTGCCAAAAAATAAAACTACACTTTATTCGCGTTAATTTATACAAATAATCATGAAGTCGATTATTACAAGTCCTGATTACTTAAAAAAGTACTTAAAAAGTGAAACTCTTCATCATAAATGGAACTCATAAAGCTAAAGTATTTATGTAAGAGTCTGGGAGTTTTATAGACAAAGCATATTGTGCTTTTCAAAGTACATTAGTCTGTAAACAATGTCGTCGTACATTAACATACTTGCGGCGGAGTCGAGCGAGTCATGCGGCATTCTG